TTTAAGTCTGAACCGATTCGAATAATTTTCGATTCGATTCGAATATTCGATTCGAAATGCCCAGCCCTAGTTACGGGTAATAATCCACCTACGGCCCTCGCTAACATGCAGAAACGATATACGTGAGAAATGTTTGCGATACAGTCATTTTGTTCTCTTTCTACGTTTTTCTTGAGGCGTCTGGCGTGTCACGATTCGTAAGACCGGCTTGTGTGCGATTTTTTATGAAATCGCCGTTTTTAGGGAGTCGGCCTATTCGGGCGATATAGGCGTAATTTCAAGTAACTACGGTATATCTAAATTACCTGTACCTTTTAAATGTATTGCTATTTACCTCACAATGATACCTAATCACACTAATTTGAAACCACGTATCTTTTTCTAATTATTCTATGTATTACCAAGTACAAAAGTGAAAGTAAATGAAACGACTAAATGAAAAGTAACTACGTCAATTAGAGTTAAAAGATCAATAAATGATAAAAATTGGAAAATGGTAAAAAAACTTGAATTAAAATTTTCCACAAGGATCACGTGGATCACTACAACAATTGTAATGAAACCATTACGTAACATCACATGATTCGCATCCAATCCATTTATCTTTTTAGCTTGAGCAGCCTCTAGGATCATTCCACAATTCACACGCTCTGCAAGAATTATCCGATGAAGTTGACTGTCCTGAGATTTTGTTTCGTCTATTCCCAATTATATTTTTTGGTCGAGCAGACATAAATTCCGCCCCGGCGTAATCTTTGGGCCTCTTCCGTGGCGCACTGGACTCGCAGTCTCTTTGTGCATTTGACTCAAATATTTAATGAAGCACGATGTGGTAATGCCGGGTTCACTTCCTTCTTCATCAAATACCGGTACTGAAATGTAATCAGTTTGGTTATGTGGCAAGTTCTTCAAAACAATCTCAGGGATGAAAGGGTGGAGACGCAAATTCGAAATGAGATTTTTCGCCGCAGTTTTCTCTGTGTCTAAATTTAAAGTTTGTTATGAGGAAATGCTCATTTGGGAATCCCCTGAAACTTGTTTCCGTTTGCCATTGAGACAAAATTTCCCCACACGTTGACTTGAAGAAATGGAGAAAAAAACGAACAATCCAGTGGTTGCAAGATGTGGGTGCTGTATTATTGTGGCGATCGGCCATTTCGATTATGTCCATACTTAGGTGGGAAATTAGGTTATTTAAGAACTTCTTTTTTTCGAGTTGCTGGCAATGGGGAACAAGCAATTCTTTGAACCACCTTATGAATGTTCTGCTATCAAACCGACCACTGAGTATGGCGTTGTATATAGTGTCCGGTGGTGGACCATCAGACGTCCAGTAAGTATAGACGTTCATTGCAGCGTACACAACCATTGGAGAAAGCAGAACTCCAGCTGCTGATCCGCAGAACATTAGAGATATGGATGTTTTCGAATGCTCCTGTATTCTCTCGACCCTATTTGTTCCAAGCGGGACAATCAACCTCTTCCAAGGGTCGTCTTTGAGGTTAGTCTCGTCACAGTTGAAGATATTTGCTTTTGGAACTTAGCATAGTATGTGCTTCAGCTCTGCGAAATATGATTCAATTTCTTTGTGTCCGACTGCAGCTCTTGCCCGTTTTATGTTAGAAGCTAGATGTTTCGCTAACCGCTGTCTTTTGCAAAAGTTATTCATTCACTTAGTGCCAGGTTTGTTCTCTGGGAATTCAGACTTCACCCCTTTTCTGTCCAATATGTTTGACGATGTTCCTTATGTCGTCTGGATCGACCGGAAACCCCAATCGAGCTACTATTTCCAGTCATGAAGCAAATCGGCACTCCTCTTCAGTCAGTTCTGTTGGATTTTTTTTGGATGACGGTTCTTCATTTTGTCATCTTAACCCCATGCAGTTTTGCATATTACATCCCCTTTTCGATGTCATACATTACTCTTTTCAAGTCCTCCGAATTAAAGGAGTTGTAATCTCGTTTAGCCATATTTTCCAAGTCGGTAGTAAATGACCAAAAACCATACCAAGAAATCTTTTTCTTTATTTCGAAATTTGCCAGTAAATGCTGGGATCTCTTGTTGAGCATGCCTGTACGGAGATATTCGGTCATTTCAGAGCATATCTATAGCCATGCGTAATTCATGATTTAATTTTTGTAATTTTATCATTGACTTTGACACTCAGTTTATCTTTTCTAGGCGGTTCGCCACTTTCAAATCCACGAACTTCAAAGAGTGTAATCGGCGCCCACATGACTGGTGTCAAAATGACGTCTGATTCAACATGATTGAAAACGACTAACGTGACGCCAACGTAACTATTGACGCAGGCACGAAATTCCATTATTTTTATGGAATTTAAAATTCAGAAATTTACATTTTACATGAATCTCGTGATCAGTTCAATGGATTATGTACATTGTTAGTTAGGCGCTTTTACGGTACAGCATTGTCTCGCTTCAGAAAAATCCATTTGACCGATGATCAGACCCCTCTCCTTTTGGAGGCGTCTGGACATTGTTGTTCCTCAATATGGGTAATAATACAGTATAATTAAGTTGCGCAAAATACTACCAAAAAGCGCAATTGAGCAAAATTCTTGCAATTTTGGATAGTGTGCTGTACACACTAACTTAGGACAAAAATTTTAAACAGCCATATCTGGACTAATAAGCGCCGTATATTGACAATTCCAATTATTATAGTTAGAGCTGTTATATATACATCTATTCTCAACTTTTTCAATGTTGCATAATTATTTTTTTCCCAAAATAACTGAAATATTGTCAAAAAACGATTGGCCATTATCAGGGTTGTCCAAAACGAATGGAATATTCGAATATCATAGTATTCGAATACCTTTTCGGCTGATTTTCGAATAATTCCGAATAGTAGCCACTTTTCGCCGTAAACGTGGTGTTTCGTTTTACGGGAATCTTCAAACGACTTTTTACGCTGTCTCACGTATTGTAATGACGATGAAATAGAATCGGCACTTTGATTGTTTATATTCTGAGCGATCGTACGTCGCATAGTGTTGCGACACATTTGCACGTTTGCGTGGGTGGACATTGCCGACATTCGTCCACGAGGCTTTTAATTTACAAATTCATTTCCATCACGTCGAAAAATTGACAATTACCGCTTTTCTAGGCCCAATTTTTTGGCCTGATTTTTTTTTGGGGGGCGTCTAATTGAGAAAGTATGTTTATTTTATTTCTATGTGGCCTGCTTATTAGTCTTCTCAAGCATGATTTGTGTAACCTTATATTTGGGTCTTAGGGTCTGCCAATCATGATATTTATTCGCAGGCCGGTTATTGTTACTTTAAAGAGAAACATGGCCACCGAGTGAAAGTGATTTGTGACCCTTTCGTTTTGCCGATTCAGCAGAACACGACAGGGACAGGAAAACACAGCTGTGAAATAACCCGTGGACGTACAGTGTAGTACTTATCACATTCCAAAATTATTTTAACATTCGGGTTAATAGGTTGTCCAAAATGATTGCCGCTTTACAACTTAAATTTACCGCTCAATTGTTAAAAATAGTTAATTCTGTGAGTATGATTCTACCAAACTAACATGATCTGGTTCTAAACATATAAAATTATTAGCGCATATCACAGGGACACATTTTTCTACCAGTCTTATTGGAGGCCTATATGGAAAAAAACCTTTTTTGAGTGCTAAAAATAGACATCGTCCTATTTGCCATGTGGACTTATTAGCCGGGAAATACGGTATTTATAGCCGTCATTGTTACGATATCCAATAAATTGGCACAAGTTGAAAAACAAGTTGATTTATTAGAAAATAATTTCTGGCAAATAATTTTGATAATGATAGTTAAAAGTATCGATCCTTTACCAGGATGATTTTTTGTTGCGCAAAATAATCCAATCCTTGACTGGTACCAGCATTTAAAATGTCATGTCCTATTAATTTAATTCCGTTCAACGTAACTCAATGTTGTATGGACAATCTGTGGACATAAAATGTGTGGTAAACTGACCGATATTATTAAATATTGATTCCTATTTTCATATTGAGAAAATAATGAAAGTATTAATACCGAATACCACGGGTATTTGTGGACATGAAATACGTGGTAAACTGCCCAATTATATTTAATTTTGGATTCGTATTTACAAAATAATAAAACTATTATAATTCTAAAATGCAACGGCGATCTGTGGCCTTAAAATGTGTGGTACACTGCCCGATTTACCAACATTTGAGTTATGATTATAGAACTAAATTAACATGGTAAGGCATTTTAAATAGTGGTATCAGTCATGGATTCGAATATTTTACGCAGCACAAAATCATCCTAGTAAAATGTCCATACTTTTAAATACAAATCAATGGCAACCATTATCCAAATTAGTTCCCAAAAAGCGAGATAAAGTATAAATTCTTTCTCCGACTTGTGACAATTTTTTCGTGAGTGCGAAAATAAGAATCAAAAACTAATTATATTCGGCACAATATCACGGCAATCTGTGGACATAAATTGTGAGGCAAACTCGTGATAGATATTAATTTTTGATTCCTATTTTTGTATTAACAAAATACAACGGCGATCTGTGGACTTAGAAAAGTCGGAAAAATAACTCATACTTTATCCCGCTTTTTGGCAAATAATTTGGATAATGGTTGATATTTAAAAGTATGGACGTTTTACTAGGATGATTTTGTGTTGCGCAAATATTCAAATCCATCACCGATACCACTATTGCCGTATTAATTTATTCTGTTAACATGACTCAAGGTATATAAAATATATACTGCAATAATCTGCAAATATGAAATGCCTGGTAATATAACTAGGTTGTAACTTGTAGATACTAGGTAGTAACTTGTTATTCCATTGCTTATTGTATGGAAATTCCTACATACATTTAGATAAGCCTCAATTAGTGATTTTATTTTCGAAATTTCATATTCGAAAAAAAATAATTTCGAATGTATTCGAAATAGTGAACTATTCGGTATTGGCCATCCCTGGCCATTATTCAACGGCACAGAGCGTCGCTTCTACTTAGCTATTATCGTCAAAATACCATCAATTGGTGGAGGTCGATAACAAGGTATATAATGTGTGATAGTGACCACGAGATGTCGTAGGAGTTTCGTTCAAATAAATGTGAAATTTTGAATTGTTATATTGTAATTTCGTTTAAAATATTAAGATTTCATGAGACTGCGTCGCGGGAATGAATTTTTGACGTCCGACACGACGACGCCAATTGGCAATTCCCTTTAAGTTAAGACCCGCTCCAGTGTGATATTTTTGTATTTTGTTCAATCCATGTGTGAACATATGCCAAATCACATTAACGAGAGAACATTTCTTATGAAATCAATGTCGTCAGGATTTGAAAATATAAAACTAGAGAAATGTGACGTCCTTATGGCATTATATACTGACTAAAACAACTATTTTATGCTTTGAAGTAAAAATCGACAGTTATTGAATACAATAGTGTGGGGAATTCATTTTATTTCTAATCAAAATCACGGGACCTATCTGAATGTTAATTAACCAGATTATATTGAAGATTAAACTTTACAATTGGGTTCGTGGTATGTTTGATGAAAAATTAATTACTTATAAAAGATAACAGCGCAACATCAACAAAGCACAACTTTGTCAAACCAATATTTTTCCGTATTACAATTTCAAGCATCAGGACATGTTTCAGTTTTCGATTGCATTCATGATTCGATTTTATAAACTTTGTGTTGTTTATGGAATTTATGTATTTTAAACCTCATGTTTTGTCTGATTTTCAGGTACTCTATCATTTTTATTTGAGCTTATTGTAGGGAATGAATAATAAGTACGTCGTGTTCCAACACAATTAATATGGAAGAAAAACCTCATGCTTGCGAATATGTGGTAAAAAATTACTAAGCCATGTTATTTGAAATACCACATGCGAACACATACAGGAGAAAAAACTTCATACCTGTGAAATATGCGGAAAAGACTTTTATTGGTTGAGTAGATTAAAAATCCACAAACGAATTCATACTGGAGAAAACCTCATGATTGTGAAATATGTAGAAAAGATTTTGTCAGTAAAGGTGAATTGAAAAATCACATGTATACGCATACTGGAGAACAACCTTATGCTTGCAAAATATGTGATAAAAAATTTACTAAGCCATCCTCTTTGAAATACCACATACGATACCATACTGGAGTAAAACCGTATGCTTGTGAAATATGTGGAAAAGATTTTACAACATTGGGTGTTTTGAAAACAGCATATTCGAATCCACACTCAGAAAAACCTCATGCATGTAAAATATGTGGAAAAGATTTTACATGGCCAAGTAATTTGAAACGCCACATACGCACACATACTGGAGAAAAGCGGTATTCTTGTGAAATATGTGGAAAAAATTTTGCCATCTCAAGTCATTTAAAAAAGCACATGCGGACACATACTGGAGAAAAAACCTCATGTTTGTAAAATATGTGGGAAAGATTTTGCATTATTGAGTATTTGAAACAACATATGCGAAACTCATAACTGGAGAAAAAACTTCATGCTTGTAAAATATGTGGGAAATTTTTCGCATGGCTGAAAACTCTGAAAAACCACATGCGAACTCACACAGGTGAAAAACTTCATGCTTGTAAAATATGTGGAAAATATTTTTCATGGCTTAAAACCTTGAATACCACATGCGTACGCATACAGGAGAAAAACCACATGCTTGTAAAATATGTGGAAAATGTTTCGCAATACCTGGTAACTTGAAACGCCACATTCGAATTCATACTGGAGAAAGACCTTATGCTTGTGAAATATGTGGGAAAGATTTCCCAAATACAAGTAATTTAAAATGCACATGCGAACGCATACTAGAGAAAAACCTCATGTTTGTGAAAAATGTGGGAAAGATTTTTCCCGAAAAGGTAGTTTAGAAACACACATGCGAAGCCATACTGGAGAAAAACCTTATGCTTGTGAAATATGTGGGAAAGATTTCCCAAATACAAGTAATTTAAAAATGCACATGCGAATCCATACTGGAGAAAACCTTATCCTTGTGAAAAATGTGGGAAAGATTTTTCCCGAAAAGGTAGTTTAGAAACACACATGCGAAGCCATACTGGAGAAAAACCTTATACTTGTGGAAACATGTGGGGAAAGATTTCTCAATTAGAGGTAATCTGAAAAATTCACATGCAGAGGCATACTGGAGAAAAACCTCATGCTTGTGAAATATGTGGAAAAGATTTTTGCACGACGAAAGACTTTTGAAAAAGCCACATGGGAGCACACACCAGTGAAAAACCTTGAGCTTGCAAATTAAACCTCATGATTGTACTGAAAGGCCACATTCTAAACACATACTGGTAAAAACCTCTACACTCATGATTTTGTAAGATTTCATAAATTGAAAGAGCAATATGAAGCCATACTCTAAAACACTAACACTTTATATATATTGGAAAAATTTTTTTCAAGATTAAATACCTCAGAAGCAAACTCATGTCGCAAAGGAATCTTCTTGAATAGGAAGCTTTTGTAGGCATGGGTGGTAAAAAAGTAACCTATGTGATTCCATACTAAAAAAACTTCTAAGATAAGCGTTAAATGGAGAATTGGACTAACCTGAAAGTACTGATAACGCAGTGTTCTTGTGAAATACGTGAGAAAGGTTGTGCAAATACCACACATGAACTGCATACTGAAACAAGCATTTGAAAGATGTGAGAAAGGTTTACGGTCTGTTCATTTCGTTTAAAGCATCGAAACGGTAAAGACTTTTTAAGACCGTCTGTTCTTTTGTTTTTGTTGATTTTCTTTAACAATAGATTTCGGTAAAGGTTCTGTTTTGCTATTCAGCTTTTTGTCCTTTTGCTATTCTGTGAATCAGTGGTTCTTAAACTTTTCAAGTCATCCCCTTTTTAGAATTTGTGAAGTTTCGCACCCAAATTTAAAAATATCTAGCCACAATAAGCTATAAGGCGAAAGTATGTTTTTTTTAAACACATTGAAAATATGTGTACATAATAAAGAAATGTAACTATCCAAAATAAAGATCAAATCTAAGAAACAAATGGCCAAACAAATATCACTTGTTATCAATAGTTTTCTATTAACTTGATACTACTTCCCCAAGAGTATAAGGCAATGAAACCTCCCAAATATCTGCCCCATTACATTGTGTATTTGTTGTTTAAATGATCTACATATTTTGCCTTCTCCTTTGTTCTGTGTTCAACCAATGAGTTTCTGCGAACTCCTAGCTGCATGTAACCCATTATTATATTGTATCCTGGAAAGCATGCTTTTCAAGTATCACTAATTTCATTTTTTCTTGGATTAAATATAAAAAAATATACATTGCGCAGATACCACAATCTACGAATATATTGACACCAAGCGCAATTTGATGATTCAAAAATAGCCCCCATATTGAAAGACATGAATTAAAAAAAACTGAGACTGCAGACTTCAAGAGACAGTTTATCAGCGGATTTTCCAAGTTCTGTGATGATTCTGTTTCAAGATGAATTGAACTGGTTCGAGTTACAGTAGATACCGCAGTCTACAAATATATGGACATCAAGCGAAACAGTACCGTAAAACCGGCTAACTTTGGTTGATTTCACTATACTTTAATCAATTACTCAGCCATTTGTTGTCCAATTTGCGTCAAACTTGAAATATATTACAGTAATATTAATTAATATAATAATTCTCTGTACATGCATTTAATTTTCGAAAAAAACCTCGTATTTGTGAAATATACAGAAAAGATTTTGTATGATGTGATTACTTGAAGAAACACATGTAAACCCTTATGGTGTAAAAATCTTTGAACTTTTTTTATTCACTGTCTGATTTTCTATAGCAATGGTTACCGTGTGATGTTTATTTAACCTTACTTTCTAGGTGGGTTTTGTGGATATAAATAGAAAGTACCCAGGTGTGATCTTATGAACAATCAAAGCAATTACAACTCATATATCATTTGTTTCATATCAGTTTTGCTTTGAATTCATTTGCGCCAACTGTATAGAGTAGTGAAAGTATTCAATTAAATATCTTCTCACATTGTGTATGTATGCTCTAGAACAGGGTGGTGGGCTCCGCGGGCCACAATAGTACCAAGAATAGGTAAACAGTGCAGTACAAAACAAGCACTTCGATAGTTATCAGGCATTGCCAACCTAGGCTAATGAAATCTGCATTCGATTTTTAGTTTTCTATTATGTCTAAATTGTTAGCATATATTCCCAACTAAAACGACAGAAATCCAGGTAACAATTTAGACTGCCCATCACATCTTCAACTCAGCTAGCCATCATACTAGTCAATTCAGTCACAGCGAATGAAGCGGCGTGCCACAAGTGGCCCGCGGGCCTGGGTTTGGACCACTCTGATCTAGAACAAGGTTTCTCCAACTGAACCTTTACAAAGAATCAGAACAGGTTGCTAGGGACAATGAGAAAAGGGTTTCACTATGTGCTCGACCACAAAGACTACGTTAATTTGAAGTAAATTCATGTAGGTTTACATTATTTAATGTGATGCATATAATAATTGATGGAAACTTATTATAGCGAATCTGGCTATTATTATGGAATAACACGAATGTCGGAAGTCTCCATTTGCCTATGTCATGTGCCACCAATAAGTCCAACTTTCAGCTTTGTGCAACCATTGTTGTCATTCATCCCAGTAACCCTTCTGAGCATGCTATTTAAATAATATTAATTCCATTTTTTTCTCACTTATACATATTTAACTCATTGCATATCTGTGTTTAGGCCAGTAATGTTTTCAATGAAAACAAATTTTTAAATAATAGTCAGTACCATTGATCCGAAAGTTGATATGGAAGAACAACATGATTGTGAAATACCTGGAAAAGATTTTACAAAAACAAGTATTTTAAAATTCCGCATGCGAATGCACACTGATAAAAAACCATATGCGTGTGAAATATGTGGGAAAGATTTTACCAGGACAAATGATTTGAAAAGGCACATGCGAATGCATACTGGTGAAAAACCATATGCTTGTGAAATATGTGAAAAAGATTTTGCCAGGAAAAGTGATTTGAAAAGGCACATACGAATGCATACTGGTGAAAAACCATATGCTTGTGAAATATGTGGTAAGGGTTTTGCTTGGACAAGTGATTTGAAAAAGCACAGCCGAAAGCATACTGGTGAGAAACCCTATTTCTGTAGAATATGTGGAAGAGATTTTGCTTGGGCGAGTGCTTTGAAAAAACACATGGAAACGCATACTGGAAAGAAACCTTATACCTGTGAAATATGTGATAAAGAATATGTAAGGTTGCATCATTTTATATTCCACATACAAACCCATACTAGAAAAAAACTTTATGTCTGTGAAATATGTGGGAAAGATTTGGCAAGGAAAGATCGTTTGAAAAAGCACATGCAAACGCATACTGGTGCACAACTTTATGCTTGTGAAATTTGTGGGAAAGATTTTGCCAGAACAAATTATTTGAAAAAGCACATGCGAACCCATACAGGAGAAAAGCTCAGTGCTTGCGAAATATGTGGAAATAATTTTGTCTGGACAAGTAATTTGAAAAGGCACATGCGAATGCATACTGGGGAAAAATCTCATGCTTGTGAAGTATGTGGGAAAGATTTTGCAAGATCAGATTACCTAAAGCTACACATAAAATGTCATATTGTGTAAAACGTTTTTTCATTTATTTTTTTCTTTGTCTGATTTTCTCCAGAATTTTATTGTGACAAGTTAAAATACTTAGAAATGCCACTGACGAAATATTGCTTGTGAACTATTTGACAACAAGGTTTTCAAGGTACACAGGAGAAAAACCTCATGCTTGTGAAATAGATGGAAAAACACATGTAAACTCATATGGTGTAAAACTGTTTTAACTTTTTTTAGACAAGCGTTAGTTACCCTGTGATGTTTATTTAACTTTACTGCCTTGGTTTTGTTACTTTACTTTTCTGATCTTTCTAGGTAGGTGCTGTAGATATAAATAGATAGTACCCAGGTGTGATCTTATGCAAAAGCAATTGCAAATGATATATCAGTTTTGCTATGAATTTAGTTGCGATAGTATTATAGAGTAGTGAAAGTTCTTAATATCACATCCTCTCATATTGTTTATATTTGTGTATGTGTTGTATGTAAGATATAGATTGTCCAAAGACACAGAACAGATCGTTATAGGCAATGAGCAAAGCAAGCTTATTTCTTTGACTGTAATGCATTTGTTCTTTCACTTTTGTTATTTGGTTTTTACTATTGAATGTGAAAACTGATGAACTTGTTAATCCAAAAATGGATATTTTTTGAAAGAACCTCCGGTTACATATGTTGGTTTTCAGAAGGAGGTCACAGATCAGAAGTCCCTTCATTCCATTTGTCTATACTGTGCACCACCTATAATATGAGTAAGTCCATGAGAACACTCAGCTGCTAGCAACCATTGTCATTCATCCCAGTAGCCCTTCTCTGCATTCTATTCAATAACTATTGATTTCCTTTTTCTTTCACCCATACATATCTGTATTTAGACGAGTAATGTTTTGATTTTGTCTTTAATAGGAAAGGAATAACAATATACGTATATCTAAACGAGATAGCGATCGGAGACCGCCGACTTATCGATCTTTCGCATGTTCAGTTAGAGGATCCCGCAAAACAGAAACTGCTGTTTAGATTTCTTTGCTCTGACTCAATACCGACACCGACGTGTCCCATCCCATCACTAATTCATCCAAAATCACTGGGCTTCTGGTCTGAGATATGATGAATGCACATGCAAAATTTTAGTGAGATATCGCGTAACATACGAAAGTGACTAATCGACTGAATACAATTGATAAAGTTTATATGGATGAATCTTATGGTTGTAAAATATGTGGGAATGATTTTACAAAGCCAAATGTTTTGAAATATCACATGCTTAAGCACACTGATGAAAAACCATATACTTGTGAAGTATGTGAAAAAGGTTTTATCTGGACAAGTAATTTGAAAATGCATATGCGAACACATACTGGAGAAAAACCATATTCTTGCACAATATGTGGGAAAGATTTTACTTCGACAAGTGATTTGAATAAGCACATGCGAACACATACTGGGGAAAAACCTTATGCTTGTGAAATATGTGGGAAAGATTTTGCTATACATGGTAGTTTGAAAAGCCACATACAAACTCATACTGGAGAAAAACCTTATACTTGTCAAATATGTGGTAAAGGTTTTGCTCTGACAAGTTATTTAAAAAAGCATGAGCGAACACATACTGGAGATAAACCTTATGCTTGTGAAATATGTGGGAAAAATTTCGCTTGGACGTGTGATTTGAAAAAGCACATTCAGACGCATACTGGAAAAAAACCTCATGCTTGTGAAATATGTGGAAAAGGTTTTGCAAGGCGGCAGCATTTGAAAAGTCACCTACTAACGCATACTGGTGAGAAACCATATTCTTGTAAAATATGTGGGAAAAATTTTGCCTGGGCAAGTTGTTGGAAAAACCACATGCGAACACATACTGGAGAAAAAATTTGTGCTTGTAAAATATGTGGAAAAAGTTTTGTCTGTATGGGTGATTTGAAAAGACACATGAGAACGCACACTGGAGAAAAACCACATGCCTGTAAATTATGTGGAAAAGATTTTGCTAGGAAAAGTCGTTTGAAATGCCACATGCAAACACATACTGGAGAAAAACCTCATGCATGTGAAATATGTGGAAAAGAATTTGCAAGGCTTCAGTATTTGAAACGGCACATGCAATCCCATACTGGTAGAAAACCTTATCTCTGTAAAATATGTGGGAAAGGTTTTACCAGCACAAGTGATTTGAAAAAGCACATGCGAACACATACGGGAGAAAGACCTTATACTTGTAAAATATGTGAAAAAGCTTTTGCATGGCCAAATACTTTGAAATGCCACATGCGAACACATACTGGAGAAAGACCTCATACTTGTGAAATATGTGAAAAAGCTTTTGCATGGCCAAAAAATTTGAAACGCCACATGAAAACACATACTGGAGAAATACGTGGGAAAGACTTTTAAAGTCTGCATCATTCAGAAGGCCACATACAAACCCATACTAAAGGAAAAAATTGGTAAAAAATGAGGGAAAGATTTTGCCTGGACAAGTAATTGTATATGCAGCCATATTTGTGAAGAGCCACAAAACCCACCAGACTCTCTTATAACTGTTTTGCAAAATAAAGATTATGGGTTTTGCAAAATAAAGATTATTACACTAACTACACCTGCGCCAGAATTGGTCCAATTTCTGGTAGAACTTGAGAAAGAGTCAGGAAAGGATATAAGCATGATAAAATTTTGTTCAATATTTTGGACAACATTAATCTAAATGATATGAGCATTGCTTTACGAAATAATATTACTTTGGATCAGATTAAAAAAATGTCGTCATATTATTTAAAAACTCGTTGAGAGTTTTAAATTCAGTTCAACCACCCAAAAGATCAAAACATTGGCCTTCGCAAAGCATTGAAGGCAAAATTGGGTGGTGAGAAGCCATCATTTTTTATTCAATTAGCCCACTTAGATACTTCGTAGCGTAAACTTCTGATCATGTGTGACATCTGGAAAATATATAGGTGTGTACGCAGTGGTTGGATTCAAATTTTTTGTCAGCCGGTTCCATCATACAAATGTCGGATTTTCAGGTGGTTCTGTTACAAAAAGTCATGTAATGCTAACCGGTTCGCTGATCTCATAAAATTCCGTGAGAGAGTTCTATAGAAGCGGCTGAATCCCACTACTGTGTTTACGTTGGGGCAATGTTCTACCCAAAACCCGAAAAAGTTTTGTGCATATTTTCAATGCTATTTGTGAATGATCTCTTTTATGGTCAGGAGACTCGGTGACCTAACCCTCACAAATAATGGTAATTATTTTACTGTTTATTCAAATTTATCATAGTGCTGACATGGTTTGTGATAATAAAATATCTCTCATTTTTCTTAAAGATAACTCTTTTATAGTACAGAAAAATTATATTAGTGCTGACATAGTGTGTGATTCTCTCGCATAAAACCAACTCAATTGTAGTACAAAAAAATGCATATTACAAGTTACAATTCCAGTAGTAATCCATACCATAATTAGGTTATTTTATTAAATGCATTGATAAAAAACAATAAAAATAAAATTAGTAAATATAAAATACATATCATAAACATATAATTTTCTTTTTGAAATAATGCTTTACATAAATTTTTCAATTCCCTCACAAATGGGTTGTTTATTCTATAATTCTCCATATTATGGCCATTTTTATCTGCTTTTTGAGAAAGGCAAAATGTTGTGTTTTATTTTCGAATATAATAGAATTTCTCATGGTCAAAATTTTATATCTCACTATTGATAACAAAAGTATAATTGCATCCAAATCAACAGTATCTATACGACTATATAAAGGATCGTTAAAATTAAATAATATGCAAGAATCATATTGATAACAAAATGTATTCTAATCAATTTTAATATATCTAAAACAAAATCTTCATAAATATTTTTTGTAAATTTACAATACATGAAAATATGTGAAACAAACTCAGGTTCTCTATTACATAATACACACATTTCATTCCCTGCTTTTCTTCCAATTTCTGGCTTTTGTTTGCAATGGCAAGATATCCCAGAGTAATTTATAGTTAAAATCAGTATTTTTAATAAGTAAACGAATAGCTCACAGAGCCATGTGATTCATATGGTGCACAGAGCTATGATTGAGAGAGGTCGTGGTTCGCCATATATTTAGGCCTTCTTTTCGGCTTTCCTCTCCCCTTGGATAAATATGTAATAATAAATACATAAATAACCGCACTCCTCTCGGCGACTGGTTCATATTCTGTTTTGTAGATACGTTTTCTGTCTAATAGATATGCATTCCCAATAAGCATATGCTCATAGTTGTATGCTTTCAGCGTACCATACTTCGAAACCCAAAATCAAATATGTATTGAAGAATTAAAGACCTCAAGTCAAGTTAATACGGCCAATTTCGCACCCGAGTCGGCTGAAGCAAGGGATTTTGGCAGCGAGCAATGCGTTTTCTTAATATGCAACGAACCATTTAGCTGGACGACGTAAAAATGCAGGGAACAATGCCACAATGAGCAAATCTTTGCAAGTTTCCACTCATTGTATATATGCTCATTGCTTAAACGTAAAAGAGTAATTATAGGAAACGAGATACGATCTCGCGGCGTGTATCCTTCGCCCTGACTCAATAGCGTGGAAAATTTCTCGAAGGAAACTTGCGCATCGCGACGACGTCAAAGTTACAACAGAGATATGGACAATGCTTAAAGATTAATCACGAGATACAATCTAGCGGTGTGTATCTTTTGCTCTGACTCACTACCGTGAAAACTTGCGCATCGGACACGCACACACACATTCAGCGCGTCTCAAAAATCTCTCGCTTTGTAAAAATCCAGATCTCTTCATCACTAATTAATTAATAACTCGCTAATTATACGACATAATTCATGCAAAATCAATAGGCTTCTGGTCCAAGATATGATGATTGCACATGCAATTTGGAGCAGATTCAACCACGCCTTCGTGAAATATCGCGTGTATCTAACAGACAGACAAATACCTAAAATACCTTACAAATACAAATACCTTAAAATCGATAAGTAATGAAGTATTGGAGGTCGAAAATATTAATGCATTTATATGAAAATATTAGGTCCATATTATTAAGTTCATACAACATGCAGCTACCCGAAATCCATAATCCAACACATTCCCAAAAAGTACTGGTTAGCTGAAATGAATGAACAGCTTTGTTGGCAAAAAAAGCTAGAGGTTTGGAGAACCGACTGACAAGACCTCTTGCATATATTTGCAATGCATGGTTGGCAGGTACTTTCTTTTGCATTCCTGGAATCCCCCATATCCACAAATCCCAGCATCTTATCTAATGAAGAGCTGTACACAATGTTTACTTTGACTGAAATTACAAGAATAAAAAAACACCGAGAATATGCCTATTGCAATCAGTAACCACAAAGCCAATTCAAAATATGGAAATGTTAAAACTGTTTGCTTTTCTCATACGAGACTGACTATTGAGTCAATTTAAAAACATCTTACTCAATTTGCTCAGTGAAAAAAATATATAAAATTTCTTCATATTTTTATCATATGCTCAACATTTTTCATCGACAACCTTTCAATGTTAAAAGTGATACTAGGCCCGTAGCTCTGAGAATTTAATTATAAAGTGTAACACTGACTGAAAGTGTGCTAACGAGTATATTACCCTTTATTTCATCCATAGGTAAAACTAGAAGACGATCCTCACTAGACATATTCTGAGCTCTCTTCTTCAACTCATTCTTAACACTTTCAGAAATGCCGGGTTCCACAGGGTAAATATTTCTAAATGGAGATGTTAAAATAAACGACGATTTTGAAAAGGTAAACCTTATTCACAAAGCAAACAATCTTAGTATGGTATAGGCTCAATCCATAACAGTTTTATAATTGTAAATGTATGGATATGATTACCTGTAATCGACTAAGGTTCTTCTGCTTGGTAACGAAGCTCGTCATATGCACTGGAACTTTTCATTGCAAGGCTTAAACAAAATCTAAAATTAAAAAATAAATAAATAATATACTCTGTCAAAATGAGGGTTCAGCCAATTACAAAAAAAATTTTTTAGTTTCGTTACAAAAATACAAAATCCGAAAGAAAAAGATAAAAGTAGCTGTCATGTGCTTCAAATGGCTTGGAGGTATCGAATAAAAATGTAATGAACTCAGTTTTCGTAAACTTCATCATGTCATCTTATATTTCAATCAAAAACTTAGCGTTCGTTATTTACTTTACTTTCATATTTATATGTATATAAACGGCTTATTTTACAATATATATATATACAATATCATATATATATATGTTATGTCAATATACCACACATACTTTATCAGTTATGAGTGGTAACGTTTGCCATGCTTGGCTGCAGAATTAATTTTGGCCTGCTCCTTCCAGAACATATTGTGAAAAGACGACACGTTTTTGCAAACCAGAACAAAGTAAATAATAGATAACTTAGAATTAACAATACCTAGTTATGTTTATCTTCAAAAACCACATAAAATTATAGTACTTTGTATTCGCTTCTCGTCATTCATACATTGGTCGCATTTGTTTCCCGATGATATGAAAATGTCACAGGTTATTGATCTGAAAACGATTAAGCTGTATGAAAAGACTTTGCTGATATTTCAAATAGGTTTCATCACAAGAAGTATACAAAATAACACAGGAAGGTTGAAGACTAATGAATCACTAATTTCTCTATCACTGGCGGACCACAGATAGTATTTTCTTCATCAGGTTGTGACCAGATAACCTTTTGGTGGATGTGAACACCGTCCATGTTGATGTCATTGCAGCTGGAAGACATGCCTTGGCAAATTTCACTATTAGTAAAAAGGTTTAAAATGCTGGAAAGAGTCATTGTTGCAACATTAACTTCTCTGAAAGGTTTCAATGAAGGACATAGATTACCTCCATCATTTATTTTGTTACTTACAGGAAAGAACAATCTAAAACAATGAAATAAAAATTATATACAAGCTAAAAAGATATATCAAAACAATCTTCATGTTTTTTTCATTTAGACTTTAGAGGGTCATTAACATTGACCCAAACAGTGTTAATATAATTATTACTTCTTTGGCTATTTGAGCCGGACCAAAGCAAAATTAAAGAGAATAATCAAAAGCTCGCAAAATGCATAAACGGAGGCGATTTTTTAAAGACGGAACAATATCAAACATCGTACTATCGTAAATATATAATACTACTAGATGTCCAACTCCACTCGCCGTATAATAAACAAACAAAGGCAATGTTGCACCTCCAAGTGCCGGCGTCACTGTCGGTAGGTTCAGAAAAGGTGCTTATTGACGACGACTCTCCTGCATCAGAGCTCGCAAACATCCCTGTTTGTTGATGACTGATCGAAATATTTGCTGAAGGACGTCGAGAATTTGATAAAAATGTACAAATAATCGTGACAATGAAGACACAGTCTGTCCTGCAAATTACCAGGATGATGTGACAACTTTCTTGTCGAATGAAAGCAAGGCATCAAAAATGCGATGCATTGCAAAAAATGTCAGTCAGATGTAGGTGAAGTGGTGACGAAAATGA